AACACGCCTTTTTCAAGCTGTCTGTCAGAGGTGAGTGAGTCTACAGTATTTTGCATATCACAGGGAACTAACCTTTCCTGTCCTCTATTATTAGCTAAAATAAAGTAATGATCAATTGAGGGCACACTCAATCTTGAAAATGCAATACATTGGCATTCAGTAGGAGCATGATATGCACATTTGTATTATTAATATTATTCATTTATTATATAATATTACAATTATTATAGTTCTAAACTAGATAGAAATTATAATTGAAGTCAATCACATGTCTTTTTTAGTTAGCCTAGGCCTAGATATGTTAATACTTATTCATGTTATTGTGTACTACAATATTATTATTATTTATAATGATTTTACAACAAAAACAGAATGCCCAACAGGAAAATGTGGTATGCCAAATTGCCGAATGGACTGTCCAAACTGTATGAACGGGGCAGTGTGTGAGCCTCATTCTTGTTCATGCCTATGCCCAGCCGGCTACATTGGTGATCTATGTGAGACAGGTGCGTATATTTATTTTAAATCAGTCATCACCTTTGTCCTATACAATTGATCTTTCCAAAATGCCAAGTCAAACCGACCAATCCGAATGTTTACGTTGTTTAAGGTACCACACCTTAGCAACAATATCCAAGGGACTGATGATAAACCTTTCCGGAGTGTCAATTAAACTTAACAGCTGACCAATCAGAACAGCACCAGGAATGCGCGCGTTTCACAAATACAGTTAGTGTTTGCGATATTTTAACACTGTCGTTTTGTACACCTTAGCAATTTTAGCGAAAAAATCCATTGGGAATGGGGTTCAGCATTAGCTACTAAGTGCAAGCTCGGAGATCATGTGGTAGCACCAGGCTAGTTATATGAAGGTCGTGGGCTCGTTTCGAACACAAATCTCTTGTGATATTTTTTTTCGCAAGTATTCAGGAGCGTACGGATTATTCGGTACATGTCAGGTGTAAATTTATCATTTATGATGATAAAAGATTTTCAATTAACTTTTTTTTTTCATTTTTTATTACAATTATTATTTCTAAAGATTAAAATAGTTTAATTTATGACTTTATACATACAATTATTTTACGCTTTGAAATATTTTTAAGAATAATTAAAAGTATTTGGATATTGCTCTTGCGCTGGTATTCCATCACTTGGTATAATTCCTATTCACACGCCGAAACTTGATTTACGGAAGTGTCATTCTGATTGTTTGAGGAAACGCAACCTGCCTCTCTATGGAGGCGAAACGTGGAAGTAGAAAAATTAGCGGCAGCAAGGGTAGTACCAAAAGTGTGCATATTATGTAGTGCTTATCCAGCACATTCCAAAGGCTGAGGATATAATTCGTTCCTAGAGCCCATGGTCTAGGACATTTAATTTTATTTTAAGACTCCAGAACCTTTACAGAAAGTAATATTTAGAGAACGGAAGAAAGTATCACGTCTTCTTATTTAAGCTAAATACAGATGTTTTGATAAATAATATAACACATTACAATCATTTGATGACATTAAATGATGGAACTCAAAAATTGTTGGATTTATATAAAAGAAAACATCACTCATCAAATTTAATGGCGCAAAACAACTTCAAAATGACATCGGAAAAAGTAATTACGTGGTACTAATATAGGATAAGCCTATAGTTGGCCACAAAATGTTGTTGCCTATCCATGACAGAGTATGAGAGCCTGTTTTGTTAGTCCTTATTTTAAATCTTTGGAAAACACAAACCCTAAAAATTTGGACTTTAAATAATTATACAATTAATATTGGGATTTTTGTAGTAAAATTTCTGTAAATCAGCAAAAATTATTTTGTTTGATCTCAGTCTGTTATTAACGTATGAGCTAATCAATTTTTACTGTTTTATTCCAATTTTTGGCAGTCAACGCATCTTTAAGAAATAACAATTCATAAAAGTAGAAATGATAGAATAACAATGATGACTGTCTATATGCAACATAGAATTATTATTATTATTATTATTATTATTATTATTATTATTAATATTCTTATTATTATATTCACTATGTATTATTTTTAAATGCTTCAGCGCACTCTACAAGTGATTTTGGACAGAGCGGCACCATGGCGTGCAGTACTGGCGTTGACAAGTGCATAGGTAACCGATTCTGTCGACCTCAACCATTTGGGTGTACTTGTGCAGGAGGTTTTTCTGGAATAGATTGTGGGACAAGTAAGTTTTTATGCACACTCAACTAATTTAATTAATTTTGTAATCTGTTTATAAAAATCAAACAAACTCAACGATTTTTAATTTTTCACATAGGAACTGAATTATTATAGTGTGGCTATTTTTATTTTCTATTGTTGATTGTTTATTGATTTATTTATTTGATAGATAATAATTTATTTCAGTAGTTAAAGTATGCCAATACAATGTTGAATTTTATTGGCCAAGTTTATAAGCTCACCACAGACAGAATTATTTTTCTTCTTCTTCTAGCTGCTCCCACTTGAAGGTGGGGTCGCTGAGGCAGACACTATCCTTTTCAAGCTTTCTCTACCACAGACCACATCTTCTGTAGCTCCAATAGCCTTTATGTCTCTCCTTACACAGTCTAACCATCTCTGTTTCGGCCTCCCTCTTTTTTTTTTCTTGAAAGAAACATCTAACAAAATTATTGCACTTAGTACTTTTACCACCACCACCACTACAAACACCACTATTACCAACACTACCATTACCACCACTACCACCACCACCACCATCACTGCCACTACCACTATAACTCCTACTACTACTACGACTACCACCACCACCAACACCACTTGCAGTTTTATATTCAATACTTCTCACTGTCGTTGAATCGCATTGTTGTTAAAAAAAAAACCTATAGGTCTACAGCTAGTAGTAAAGCATTAATATTACCACAATGTTTTTTTAAAGGGTGTTCTGCAGGAACATATGGCCCCGATTGCAAGTTAGTCTGTTCGTGTCCGGATGATGAGTGCAATTACCATAGTGGTTGCAGTTCCAGTAGTTGCAGTGATGGGATGACTGGCGATACTTGTACAGGTACTGTAATATAACCATTAGCAATACAAATAACTGTAATAATAATAATAATGGAAATGATATTAATAATAGGCCTATTAATAATGGTGCACGCCCCCAAATGCTCGCCCCCCCTTCACCCC